AAGATTATATATATAATGAACCCAAGAGATCTAGTAAAACTGTTCCTCATTGCAAACACCTTTACCAAAATTCTGCATGCAAAGTTACAAATTCTTTACAAATGTAAGGTCATCTATAGGGCTAACTTCATTGAACTTTTAAGACATTATGTATATAATGAATCCAAGAGATCTAGCAAGGCTGTTCCTCATTGCAAACACCTTTACCAAAATCCTACATGCAAATTAACAAATCCTTTACGAACATAAGGTCACCTTTAGGGCTAACTTCATTGAACTTTTAAGATATTTGCTAGACATGGATGAATTCATTAATAACTTGTACGATCCAGATTTTATGAGACGCACGAGCACTGACGATATTATTGTATCGCATATATTGGCAGGAGACTATATGCCGTTCTTCTACGAATGGTTTGCTGATCATGGTCCTTACAACAACAATGATGATATGATTAGATCCCTTTTTAAAACATATCTCACGGACCTTGAAGAAGAAATTGTTCTTAGAAATAATTGGATCACAGGTGATAACATAAAAGAAATCAAATGTCTTAATAACTACACATACCCCTTCAGATACGAAGAAGCCAAACCAACACCGCACAAAAATTTTATATGCGACTGCTACCAGGCTCCGATTAATAATATGGCAAGAATAGCCTGCAAGGAGTTCATAGATGTTTTGGTTGAATTATTATTTGACCTTTCAAATTCCCCTAAAAAAAAACAGAAAAATTATATATAATCTATCTTAAATACTCTTAGTTTAGTAATAAATATTTAACAATGTATTTTATTATATTTTTAGTTAAACCTTGATACTTGGTGTATATAAAACGCGTATAATCCTTGAAATACAGTAAATAGCTAGAACCCGAGTTTAAATGTGATATCATTTTTTTTTGTATTGTAAAAATTTTTGGGTATATTGTAAAATGTTTGTCCTAATTAGGAACAAGATTGATTTTAAAATGAATTCATTCGATTTCAATTTACGAATTTGAGCTAAATATTTTCTGTAGTCAGCAGACTTTTGTGACATAAAATTTTTTGGCTAGATTGTGAAATATGCACTCCTAATTAGGAAAGAGATTGATTATAAAATGAATTCATTCAATTTCAATTGACAAATTTTGAAAGCTGAAAATTTTTTGTGATTCATTCAATTTTGATCTATGAATTTGAAACTAAAAAATTTCTTGTGGTTGGAGACAGCAGATTTTTGTGACATAAAATTCGTTGGTTTTATTGTGAAATATGCACCCCTAATTAGGCATAAAGTTGATTCTTAAAAGAATTCATTCAATTTCAATTGACAAATTTTGAGGTTAAAAATTTTTTGTAAAGAATATTATGATAAAAATTTTTTTTAAAAAAAAATATATAGGTCTGCCAAACTGAATTTGAAGATTGAAGTTGAACTTTGACAAGGCTCTAATTCAAAATTGTACTTTATTTACTATTCAGGAGTAATTATTAGAGCGGAGCAATTTTTAATATCATAACTGAGTTATCATTAGTTTGGAAGGAAACATATAGAAGAATTCTACAAATTCTAACTACATATATTTCTTTAAATTCTTGTTATTCTTTTTATTTCTACCACTTTCACGAATTTTTTGAACTTGTACAACAGATTACCATGGCATTACTTGGTTGATCTTGCCTTTCACAATGAACAAGTGCAAAATATATAGGGTGGCATCCACAATTTACATTAACCCAATAGTGTATTATGTGGTTTCAATTCACTTTATATTGTTAAACAATTTGAAAATTTTCAAGACTGATAATCTGGACACACCAAGGTAATTCCTAGTATTATGTTTGTATTGTCTTTAAGATTTCTATAACAATACTGATTTAACGTAAATTGTGGATACTGCCTAGTAGAAAATGACTGCAAAAAATAAATGCCATCTATT